CGTTAATAGCTAAATGCACAAATCTTGAAGTTTAACGTTTCAATGCGCCTCACCTTTAACTGTGTGTGCGTGTCGAGATAAAAGGAAAAATTGCTCGCGGCTTAAATGATTTCTCCAAGTTTTTTACCACGGCGACTCGACCACTCGAATGCGTTTCTCTTGTCCTCGATCAAGACAGATATCTATCTCGCATCTTTCGAAGCAATTCTTGGACATCTCTCGCGCGTCTCCAGGCGTTCGTTCCTGTTTTCTTTGCGCCATACGGCGTCGCGGAAGCGAGGTTGATGCCGGGATTGCTTTACTTCCGAATACTCAAAAGGAAACGCCACGGAGAGAAGAGAGAGAGAGAGAGAGCGTGCGCGTATACAGACACGTATAAATTTCCGCCTTCAGCTCGCAACTCGGCATCGAGTTTCATGCGAAATGTCGCGGGATCCTCGGAAGACTCGAGACTCGGAAAGTGCCCGACTTTAGCCCCGGCAGCGTTTGTCAGAAAGAAATTTTTCCTCACCGCCGTTTATACACGTCGCAGAAATAGCGCGAGGATTTACGCTGCTCCCCTACGGTGTATAAATGTACAAAGAATCGTTGTCGGCGCGCTTTCGACACTTGCGAACCGCACGCCCTGCGAGGGCGTAATATCGAAGAAGAACGTAACGCTGCCATCTGGCAGCGTTTCATTGCGCCGGAAGGTCAACCGTCTGAGAGACGGCCCTTGCATATTTCAGGACAGCGTTCCCCGGATAGCGGCGGTTACGTATCCGCATACGAGAAAAGGCAATGTGAAGGACGCACAATCGACGGGAGGGGAATAAATAATACAGGCCGGCCGTTCTCGTCGTTAGAATGATGTAAGGCTCGCGGGACTGTCCGGAGGTATAAACGGGGCCGACGCCAATCTCGAATTTACGATCGAACGCGCCAATGCAAGGCTGTCCGTTCGCGAAGGACGCTCGTTGCGCTCGGAGTGATAACTCAATATCGATACGTCGCACACATCGGTGTCTGCCGAGACGAAATTTCGGCTCCGTATTAAATCTTTAATTCTGCGATAGCAGCAGGCGCTAAAGCTTAGCAAAATAGCTTCAATTTCAATGTTAATAATACGATCAAGTGGAAATTTTCACGTCACTTGGAGACTTTTAAGACGGGATAGAAAGGCTTGAACTCTTTTGTGAAAAGTCGGCTAAATTTTTATTCGTTACTCTAATATGAAATCTTTTTTTAAACTATTTACGCTATATAAAGAAAAAAGGTTTCTTTAGATTTAGTATTTATTTATTTATTTAACTAAAATTTGTTTCATAGAAACAACATATACGAAATATTATTTGTTTGAGTAAAAATATTATTATGTCATTCAAGGAAACTTTATTATTTAACAGAACGCTAATATTTGAAATAATATCTTTTAACCAAATAAAATATTATTTGGTTACAATAAATATGTAAAGTGAAACAAACAATTTTTTTATACGGAAATTATCTTTCGTTTCAAACAAATGTTTTATTTAAGATAAAGGTACATATTCGTTGAAAAGTTTAGCAATCATATTTATTAATCGAAACATTAGTTTCTTTGGAGCATGCCAACGATGAAATTTGTTTGGATACAGTAAAATTTATTAAATTTGAAGAAATCTTTTTCCTAGTATATATACTATCTAATAATAAAAATATATTTATGAAATTAGAAAGTATTAATATATGGAGCTGCTGCAGCATGATTTAATCCGCACTGCATATTATGGTTTTGCAGGAATTGCGAGTATCCAGTTGACGTTTTTAATCAAGACAAACGGCGCTGTGTTTCGAAAGCTTTCCCCTACACATTAAACTAAAAAAAAAATATTAAAAATTAACAAAAAGGTAGCAATACAACGAAAATGTTGCACAAAGTGATTTTTATTGTGACAGAATTTAATTAAATAGTATTTTTTGAATGAAGTTTAGTTAAATCTGTAAAAAATTTAATACTTTTTCATAAAAAAAAATATCCCGATAGCTTTATTCATTTTTTGAGTTACACCTTAAAACAAAAATACACACTGCGGAATAAATCGGGCTGCAGCAGCTCCATATATTTAGTAGTTTCTAATTTTTCAAACTCGGTGACGGCATATTCAGGAAGCAAAAGGAAGAGAGGTGGCGACTCGCGAACGTTACTCGAAAAAGAACTACTCGGCCGAACGGTCGGTGTCGAAGTCGAGTTTCGAAGGCGAAGTCTCGGCGAATGGCGCGTCACGGCTCTCCGCGAATTGCTAATCGCTGCCCGGGACTGTGCGCAAATTTATGTGCATTAATGGCCGAGTCGACATGACTCCCGCTCTGTCGGTAGTTAAATCATTAGAGATACGAGCGACGACATCTGTTCGCGAATCGTTGTTTATTTCCGACTCGTTAATTAAAAGTCTAATTAGTACCACGTCAATTAATGAGAATTCCACTTTTGTTCCGCTTTCTGCAACGTGGCTCTACGTGGCTCGTTCTCGCCTGCCCGTCCATGGAAGAAGAAATATGCCGGCGACATTCTCGCTCGCGTAGACCGTCGCGTGACGACCGGCAATTAAAGACTCTTGCCGCCCGTTATTATTTATTTATACGATATAATGTACAACTTCTCCCTCTCTTTCTCTTTGTCGGACTCGGAGAAAGAGAGAGAGAGAGGACGTCGCTAGCCGGAGGAAACTTTATGTTTCTCCTGTTTCAACGGCCAACAATCGTATGAAGTATACTCCGTGAAAAGTTAGTGTTCTGAGATTTTTAAATCTCCCGTGTATTTCACAGACACGTTTCTCTTATCGCGTCCTTCCTCGGCCCTCCTTGGTCCCCCGAGTTACTAGCAGCACTTTAGTCGTAATCTACGTTCTCACTAACGATATCTAAAAACGATCGCGACGGTTGAATTTTTCCTTCGCCTTTCGCCACGGTGAAGCGAGCGAGAACCTAGCTACAGGTTATTTCAAACGGTGTTGCTCCATCGTGTACATTGATATTAGCGAGAGTTCGTCTCTGCCTCCCCCGGCTTCTGAACGCAGTTAATCGAATTACCTTTGGTGCTGTAAAGTAACGAAGCCGAAAGGGCTATATAGAGTGTGACCCCATTAATAGTTGCTTCCGGGAAGTTAGATGCGTTTACGGTAAGGGCGAATAAATTTCGGCGGTTACGAGAGTCGCGAAGTTTCCTTCGAATTGTTTTATAGCACCCGACGGGGGCACGCCCGGCAGTTTCTCTGCCTGGGATTACGCGCTTATTACATATCCTCTCGTCTTCCCCCGCATGTATAAACGGGCGATACGCGAATAATCGTCGCGAACACCGCGCGCAAAATCCCTCAAATAAAAGTGCGTGACTCTTTGCTAATAAATGGCGTCTGCGTTATTACTAGAGTGTGGCTTTATCTATGAAGGGTATTTGCTCGATGTATCATCTTTAACGCTCCGGAGTAGTCGCTACGACTGTTCTTATTTAATGACGTCAAAAGCGAGAAAACGCGTGCCAAAATGTTTTGCGTAACACACTTCCAAATCAAAAGACGTATCCACAAAGTGACATTTGTGATCGATTCAGTATACTTGAAAAATTGGACGACGCAATTTCTCTCGCTGGAACAATCAATAAATAGTCGCAGGATTAATTTGAAACGGAACCTCCTTCTCCAACCTCTTTTCTCATGATTTTGTCAGTGTTTATTTTACGATTGCTTGCCGATTGTTCGAGTGAGAGGAAAGTATTCGTTCAATTTTACAAGTTTGCTGAATCGATCGTAAATGTCGTTTCGCGGATACGAAATTTTCATTTGAAGGTATAACGCAAAAATGTTGGCGTGTGTTTCCTCGCTTTTCTCGCTCCTGGCGTCACTAAACGAGGACAGTCACGGCGACTATTGCGAAGCTTCAAGAGGCTATATGTAATCATTTAGGACTATTTCACCGCTTCGGTGGTTTTGGAACCAAATCAAGCAGTGGGATGTCGGAGATGTTGACTCACTGCTTATACCGGACTTACGCCAGACTTATACTTGAAAGACCGAGTATTTCTCACTCGACTACACAAGTCTTCCTATCTTCGCTACTTATGGAATATGATACAACGATAAGATAACGTTTGTGTCGATATGTGTCGCTAAATGAAAAAAAGAAAACGGCCATACGCGCGTGTATACGCGTGCCAGTCGCGGAGCCCGGCGATCGCGCTTTTATCAAAGCATACTTGGAGCTCGGCTCGCGCAACGCGCGCGTAATTAACGTTAACGTATCTATTTGCCCTCCCCCCTTCGTTCAGTTAGTGCGTCGTCGACGTTAATTAGCGGTCGCGCAGCTTTCGCGTGCCGCTTAATTGCCGACAATTGTACTCGCATACGCGCGATAATCTAAAGTCCCGCGTTCCACGCGGGGTCCCGCTCATCGCTCGCCCGCTCGGCCGATTATACATACGTGCGGTGTATCCGCTTCTAAATTCGCGGCCGCTTCGAAAATCCGCCGATAATTACGAACGGGGCGAGCCGCAAGTACTTCCGCAACATTTTTCTCGGGGAGTCGAGCGGACGCGCCAGTAAATTTTCGGCAGACGCGCAGACGCGCTATCGCGGATACACGACTCTTTTTTTCGCGGAGAACGACGTATATCATCGCGAGATTCGCCTCCTCGTCACACCTCGCGGAAGTGTATCGCGGGGCAGATTTACGACGGGGCATAAATTACATCGGGGGGGGGGGGAGATATTTGTCAAGACGTTGATTCCCCTTCCCCGATCCTCGCGCGTAGATAATAATTAAGTATGCGATTTCACGATGCGCGCGACGAAGTTTATCGAAACAATCGTTTATCTCGTTACAAACTTTCCCTCTCTCTCTCTCTCTTTTTCTCTCTCCTGCGAGTTGATGGCGCGTTAACGCGCGGTATAAATGCAGGTGTACGATCGTCCGGGGTGCACGAGCCCCGGCGAGACAGAGGCGGAAGAAAGAGAGAGAGACGCGGAAAGCGAAAGACGGCGACGATGGCAGCGATAAACGCCGACGACAGGACGACGACGCGCCGGCCGGTATCGCCGAATGCCCCGCGGGATCTCCAGGAGACGTGCTTCCTGACCGATCACGACGTTCGCGAGATACTGGAGCGGAAATTCCGCGACGGTGAGTTCCGAGTGATCGACTGGCGACTGGAGCCGCTCGACTTGACGATGGGCTTCCTCGGCCGATACTATCATCTGCGGGTCACGGTGAGGCGGGTGGGTCACGACCGGACGGAGGATCTGCGATTCTTCGCGAAGAGCCCGCCGGCGGCGGACAATCCGGTGATGATGTACGTGCGCAGGAACGACGCGTTCAACAAGGAGATCGCCGTCTACATAGATCTGATACGGCGGATGGACCCGGTCGGCCGGCTTCAGTGGACGGTCGAGTGTTACCTCGGCAAACGGGACGTCATCATCGTCCTGGAGGACGCGTCGAGCAACGGCTACGTCACGATGGACAAGTACGTGCCGTTCGACGAGGAGCACTTCGTGTGGCTACTGAGGAGCCTCGCCAGGCTCCACTCGAGGTCGGTGATCCTCGACGAGAGGCTCCGCCGGGAAACCGGCCGGACCGTCATCGATGTTTACGGACGGTTGCTGGCCGAGCCGTTCTTCGCCAGGAGGGACGACAGGGTGAAGGCCACCCTCACCTCCTGCGTACTGGGGATGTACGCCGTCATCGAGCTGATGCGCGAGCTCGACGAGCACGGGAAGACGATCGTCAGGCGGCAGATCGACCGGTGGATCCGACGGTTACCGCGATTACTGGAGCCGTCGAGGAAACGGCGGAACGTCGTCTGCCATCGCGACACCTGGGCGAACAATCTCATGTTCCGATACGACGCCGCCGGCAAGCCTTGCGGCTGCTATCTCATCGACTTCCAGTTCTTCTGCTACTGCCCGCCGGCGATCGACTTCGTCTTTTGCCTCTATATGACCACCGATCGCGCCACCAGGGACCGTAATTTCGACGCCTTCGCCAGGATCTATCACGACTCGTTCGCCGGGAATCTGGCGGAGGAGGGCCTCGATGCGGAGGAGTGCCTACCTTGGGCGGAGTTCCGGGAGAGTTGCGAGGAGACGCGGAACATTGGGTTAATTTACGCCTGCACCAATCTGCAAATAATACTGTTGTCCGACGAAGCGATCAACGATTACTTCCACGACACGGCCGACAAGCTCACCGATGTGCTGATCGGAAGCGGGCGAGCGGACATGGTGCGCCGACAATGTCTAAACGTGCCCGTGTACAGAGCGCGTCTCACGGAGATCGTACTCGAGATCAAGGATCGCCTGCCCGAACATCCGCCGAATTTGTAGGATCCGGGAATCCGCACATTCGCCGCCGCGAGCCGCGATAGTTGGAATCGCGCCAGGCGCATCGAACTCGTCGCCCTGATTTTATTTGCAACTCTCAATTGCGCGCGACCGTGTCGAGGACCGATATCAGATTATGAGGAAAGGACACCGAAAACAATTTATTTGTCATTTCTATTTCTTTGCGTTGTTCTTAGGATGTTGTCATGATTTTATTTATAATCTTCTTAATTATATATCGTTTAATTGATTAAAATTAACATCGCCTTTGAAAAATGTGCTTGTTACTATAACGAGATTTGAATTCGGGATCTTGAGTCGTCTATCTTACATGTTACATCACTTCTAGCCTCTAGCTATACGTGTATTTCGTATTATCTAAGTCTCAAGATAACGACCGTTACTCGAGATAATTAACGCAACTTCTCTGTAAATTTCAACATATAAAATATGCCACCAATAATATTTAGTAAAATTCACACCCATAATATGTCAATCAACACTGGTGAAATGTGTTATTTTAACATTTACACATTATTCAATTCGATTACCCCGTTAAATTCAAACCGTAAAATACCGATTCAACACAAAATATCGGAATGAAGATAAATATTGAGATAAACACAATATGTTAAACTAACACACGAGTGTGTTGAGAACTTAACACAAAAGTTTGATCAAGAACCAATCTTAACGCAATTACAAACATACTATGTATGATCTAAAATAATTGTTTGTGGTTGATTAAATTAGATTAGTCGTATCACTTACCGAATATCGATAAGAAAAGAAAAACATAATTGAAATTGAGGTAAAAGTATTTCTCGATAGAGAAACGTAATGCGTCCGATTAGACGCGAATGTACAACCTGAGAGAAGTAACGAGCACCGTGGGACGGAAAAGAAGATCCCGAGACAGTTTAGGACGTGTATCGCATGGCCAGAGAAATATTGGAATCTCTGTTCTCCGCTCATAATTGATGATGGAGAAACGCTTTTCATGCAAATGGACTTCCATGAGAATTTTATTCCGTTCATTTTTCAAGTGTCGCTGTTACATCGTTCCCTCTTCTCGAGAGCCGCTTCTCGACGGCGGCGGTATTCGTTAGCACATTTTAGCGAAGTGAGTTGAGGCACGATTTTGCGTGTTTGCTCGCGAATGCAATTTCTTTTTCATTCACCGGCTCCATAATCGACTGCTCATAGACGCAGTGTCAACGTGGGGATAATTGTTTTATCTCGATCGCCTTATACGATCTCGTCCCGCCTGCCTCGCTCGCCATTGTTAACGTAGGGTCGTCAAGAAAGCTAATTCTACGGTTAAAACCATTGTATGACGTAGCGCTTTGCAAACTTAAACGAGACCATCGTTCTCGGTTACGCCAGACGAACTTTGTCGTGAAAGGAAAAAGGGATTACTACGCGTAATAAACTTTAGAGCAGCCCGCTGGGGGAGAGAAAGCACGAGAAAAAGAGAATCTAATATTTAAGATAATTTATGTCACTTGCACACACAATACGCTTGCCCACAAGCGGATGTTAATACGCGTCTATAAAAAAGTATCTCTAATCGGTTCGCTTTAACTGTACACGTGTCGCACGACAAAGACGATAGTATTTCGGAATTATCGCGTTCTCACTAAGAGAGTTACTTGAATTCGTTAAACAATCTTTTGCCGAGCAAGGACGCGACACCGTGCAATCTTGTTTGTTACTCCGCGTAACAGTCGAATTGTGAAATTTGATTTTTTCAAGATCTCACTTTTCTGCAACAAAAAATCTCGCTAACTCTGCAATTTATAGCTGTAATGTATAAACAGCGGGTTTTCTAAGTTTTGGAATTACATAAAATTAGTGACTGTATCTAATGAAGTCTGATATTATAACACGACATTTGTTGGTATAAATATATATATATAATATATACATATATATAATAGTCTTATCCAGATTGAATATATTTATAATGTCAAAGGAATTTCAAAGAAATATGGGGAATTCATAAAACAAAGAATAAAACTACGCAGAAGTAATTTTTTCCGAGAAATATGTTGCCTTTCTTTTACAATGGCTTTTTGAAATGCACGCAAGAAGATGTCAGTACTGAATACATCTTTCCTATATACAGTTTTAATTTTAATAAAAATTTGTAAAATTAATTAAATTACATATAAATATTATATAACGTCTCAGAAATAAAGAATAATTTTAATTAGAATTAATTGCAAAGCCATATAAATTGTTAATAATTTGTGGTTGATCTGCATAGATTTATTTATTATTATATACATTTATTCGAGCAACAATTCTTTTGCGAACGATGTCAAGTAATGCAATGCGACCGACACGGTTATAATTATATATTGGTGAAACGCAACAAATATCCCGTCTTTCTGCTATTGTCATAGGCGTGCGTATACAGTAATATTATACGTTACACAATAGTTATTATCAGAGATAAAATTTAAATAACGAGCAATCCAAATTGCAGTAACGAAAATATATACGTCAATATGGGATATTTTTTACTTTTCTGATATTTTCTTGTACGTGCGGTAAATTTGTATACTATCAGGTTAAAAATGATATCTGATCAAACTATTTGTTGCTGTCGTATATAAATTTTGGCTTCAATACGAATATATCTACCAGTCGCGCGATGCAAACCTAGTAAATTTTACTCTTAACTTGGTATGTTATTCAACAAAAATTTTCTGCGTGTTCCAGTAATAGAAATTAGTGAAAGAAACAATTATAAAGATAGTATTCAATACTTGTAGCGATAGAAAATTATTTGATATGTTTGGATGATGCTGATATAAATGTACCGATACAACTGCAGCCAATTGACTCCTTTAAATTATCGAAATTAATAAAAATATTTTCTCGCATTTGTTGAATGAATGCTACATGATTTTCGTGGAAAAATAAACGAATTTATTTCGCAAATTTAAATTAACTTGGAATACGAAATAATACGCGTGCAATAATTAAGATAACAATATCCACAAAAAAGTATTTGTTCTATGAGCAAATTGACAATTGCCTCCGCGCTTAATTTGTTTGCTGCACGAGCAAATTTGTTTAATTATAACGCTGAATTTTTTAATCCGCCGAGTTATAGATTTGCTGAATCAACCAATTTATTTTTCCCCCTCCGTGAAGCTTTTGTGAAATATCACGCGATTTTTCACAACGACGTGCAAGCCGGCCGGATCGAATTTATTTCATTATGATTTTGTTCACGGAGTGACGTTTTTTAATAGTACTCGTAGTTGCCGTTTGTGCGATCAAGGTATTCGCGAGGTTCCTTGGCGATAAAATGATGAAGAACGGCCAGGCTTAATGGCCCGCGACGTTATATCGAATTAAAGCGGAAGTTCCTTTTATTGCCAGCTATTCGAGGTGCTCGTAATCACCCCTCCAACGTTTTAATGATATACTAGCCGGCGTAAGCTGCCCCTAGCGGCCGAATGATATTTCGAGACTACAAATAGTTGTCGCGCTCATCATGGATTAAAACGACTATGTGGTCTCGCTAACTTGTCAGACGAGGATCAGACTCGATTTGTTCCGTCAATTTTCACTGAACAATACGAGATCGTCGCTTTACTCCCATCTAGAATGTTATAATTCTGTTACACGTCCCAAAGTATCAACACTTTTGTTCGCAAAGGTTGTTCATTGTTGCGATAAAAGATTCGAGTTTGTCACGGACGTTGTAAAAGGACGTCTTCGTATAAATTTTCCTTTCGTAAACCAAGTATATAAAATTTGTAGAGAATGCATTACTCTCCCTCTCTCTCTTTTTTTTGAAAACTTTGCTGGCAAAAATAGTGTTTTCTTTCTACAAAAGTTCATGTCATATTGGTTGCACAGAATTATAAATGCTTTTACACAGTGAAAGTACATACGTATTTAAAATGAATTTTAGAATCGATTAAAAAAATTATTTGAAATTGTTCAAATCATTTTAAAAATAAGATAGGAATTGATTTTTTATATTACGAAGAATTTCTCGCAAATGTTTACCTGCATCGGTTCTTAATTAGCGTGTATATGATTATAATTTAAATTATTTGTAAATTAGCGATATGACGAAGGTACGAAAATAAAACAACCGAAAATATTATTATTATTATTTTTATTTTCATGTTCATACTGTCAGAAAAAAATTAAAATTCCTTTTAAATAGTACATTATTAGACGGTTCCTAACGTTCTCAATATAAATATTTTTACAACGGAAGATTAGAATTCTCTATTTTTCTACGGAAAATTAAAGCATATGTCTTGCTCGCAAATTTCTGTTCAACTTTCACATACACCAGTTCGAAGTAGAAAAACAGCATCTAAGAAAACGATTTTGAAGGCATTGCCTACGGTTGTCACTTGTTACATCACGAAAATTAGAACTCAAGCTTCGATTTTAATTGTTACATTTGATATCATCGGTCGTAAAATCAACTAGAATTTGTCGGTTTACATCAAGGATACGATTGTCGCGTTGATCGCTGAATTATCGCGTTACCAACGCCTGTCGAATTCCTCAACGGCATCCCCTGAATTTGAATCCCGGTGTTTTCTTTCCCGGGCCGCCGCCGCCGTTGACGGTAGCGGGGTCAATTTCGGGTTAATAATACAGCGTAAGTAAAACCCGTTCTCGGGGTAGCCGCGGAAGATTCGTTTCGTCCATTGAAGCAGTCGTTCGAGAAACGGAACGGGCGAGCGAGCGAACGCTTCCGCTCCCGATATAATTTGTTTCGTCCATTTGGACGGGGGGCGCGCGGGCACACACGCGCCGTAAGGAACTCACCCTCTCCTCCTCCCTCCCCCCTCACACTCCGTCGCTCTCTCGCTCTCCGGCGAGCGCAGTGCCGCGGACATGCTGTTTATGCGAAATCCTGTGGCTCGTGGTGGCGTGAACGGAGAGCGCAGGCGTCCGGAGTCCTGTGGCGGCAAGCGAACTCCGATTTTCTCTAGTGTCGCGTCAACTGCCGCTGG